TATATATTTAATGAGGGCTGACATATCAACTAGAAATGGTTTGTTCGAAAAATTGTGATCTTTTTAATGTTAAATGGCTGTTCGCAATGGGTTACACTCAACGAATCTTTCTTGTGGAACATCCTAAATATATACAAATCTTAAAAACGATCACACATACATACGTTTCATCTGTGTACACATAAGAGGAGATGAATTATCATTTAACACTGTTGTATATTGGCACAAAAGTAATCTTTTATTCTTAATACCCGTGTATTAAATATTCATATATGCATACGTATACTTCCCCAAAAATATATATGCATATATGAAGGTATACATTAAGTTTACTGTTAAACTGACTATAGAACATGTATGCGAAAAGAAATTGTAAAGGAGATAATATTGAAGATAGCTTGCAACTTGTTTACCAAAATTTAGTTTTGTCAGAGGCTAGTTATAGTTCGAGTTAAACTGAAAATAATGGAAAGAATGATAAGCAATGTGTAAGTTCAAGAGAGAGAGAGAGAGAAAGAGAGAGAGAGAGAGGTATGAGTTTAATACAGAAAGAATGAAAGGTGAGCATGTTAGAGAGAAAGAAAGGAAGAGAGATTAAAGAAAGAATGAAAAGAAGAGAGAATATGAATGAGAGAAACAGCGAGAAAGGAAAATAGAGTGATGATGACAATAATAGTGCCAAGCGATTCGTACCCTGAATAATTGCAATTTTTACTAGAGCAATATTATATAGTACTAGTATTATATATTAAATAAATCGGTTATATAAATATATATATATATAAAGAAAAAAAGAAAAAAAAAAAAGAAAAAACTGATGAAAAAGAAACAATTATGCTTAGATATGCATTAGTTGCAATACTTTCGAGACTACCTCCTGAAAACTTGAGAAGTGATAACGCTATATTAAATCTTAATGAAATGCTGTCATTTTAATTGCATTTTAAAAGAATAGTTTTCAACTTGTCCAGTTTACTTATCTGTAAGAGATAATCTTTTGTAAATGCTCTAATCCACTACGTTGGATCTTATATTAACAAAAAAACAAAACAAAAGAACTATAAATGCGGTGATCTATCTCTAAACAATTTTGTACGTCAATAGATAAATTGCTTGTTATCGCTTTGATAGTTGAAACAATGGGACGAATCGCAGCGCGTAGCTGTTGCATGGATGTATGATTCATACAAAGATACTATAAAATTTAAATTGTTTTATATTTTTGTTACGCCTCTCTGTGATATAATAAGGGCACATTCACCTCACCCTGTATATGCATTAATCTTTGTATCTTATTGAATTAAGGTGAAACTTTTTGAAGAACAATCCTTGCCATGCCCTTCCTAATGTATTTTGGACTGTGCTCGTGCGTACCATTAAGATCAAAAGTATTCATGTATTCCTTAATACGGTCTAAATACTTGACTAACTTTATGGACATCAAAGCTATCTGAAAAATACAAACTTAAGGGGGAACCGTTAAGTCTAATTCAGCCTATAATATTACATTACTTTCTTTATAATTACATTTTATAAACAATATTGAAGAATACAAATATTTAGTAGGACAAGGAGTATATAACTCAATGGGATAAATGAGTAATACGTCATACTTCTTGTCACATTAAATAATTGCTATTGGGCCTTAAAGTAAATATTCTAATCGTTCCATCTGTTATGTACTCTCTTTTAATCCTTTTCATTTAATTAAATAGACTTAACAGTCCTCTCAAAGTATTAACTAATGGGGTACGTTCGAGCTTGTGCTTGTGAAAAAAATATGAAGTGTATCATTACACATTGTATTGTACTGTACTTAGTTATAAGAAAAATAATCTTAATACATTAAACTGTGAAAAGAAATATATTACAAAAGAAGACGTTAATCATTATACAGCGTGTATTACACACATATACATGCAGGGAATCATATACTATTAACTATACACCATCATTGTTAACCATGGTTGCGGTTCTATTTACACAGTTCGTTTACTGAATAAATTCAAGAAAAAATATATTTGAACTAATGTGACTGGTACTATAAAGTTTATAAATTTTATTAACCCGTAGAATTTGCTGATAAGAAAGGAAACATTTCAATTTACTCCTTTAAAAGAACAATATTCAAAACTCATGTCAAATTTTTCTAATTTCTATTAAATTTTTCTACTTCTTTATTAACAACTTTGAATGCACTTTAAAATAAAACACTTCACTTTAATAATTAAATTAAATGAGCACAAAAACAAAAGAATATATTTTACAAAGTGAATTACGTTGATGAAACACCGCATTAAAGCGTTTGAATATCGAACCAATCGCAATGCACCTTTTCCCGCGCTCGTTCGTGATTGGCGACAGAAAATGTGGGACATTTAAAAAACTAAACAAATGAACAATTTTTTTCTATATTTTTAAATAAAATAAATGCTAGATAAAGAAAACAAAATTATCCAATGTACGTATTTAATGTCTTTAATGGTATATATGAGATTAATTAATAATGTATTGTTCATGTGTATGAATTTAATAATAATCATTTTATAAAATGTTTCAAAATTGTTATAATGCATATCTCAAAACAAAACAAAAATATGATGCAATATAAGACCTTAAAATAAACTTGATATATATTTTTATAAATTTTCTTTGTCTAGCATCATGCGTGCGTTTTATAGGTTAAGAAATCAGTGTAACCAACAGACCTATTCTAAGCGACATCTGTTAATAATGATATAATGTTGGCAAGTCTGTTTGGCATAAATAAATGTCAGAATATACTCAAAACCAATTTTGAATATTCCTTCTTCTTTATTTTACAATGAATAGATTTGAATATGCTAATCCTCGTCTTTTACCAAACGAATTAAACGTTAGACGAGATTTTGGTGTTCGTTTGTATGATGGAGATGTTAAGGTTAGTACAAATATATAAGATCATATAAAAATAACAAAACTAACCTTTGTTTTTTTTAACAGACACAATTTGAAGGTGGGCAATTGTATATTACAACTCATCGAGCACTGTGGGGAAGACCGGATGATATACCAAGAGGTAACACCTGTCTTTCACTACCGTTAAGATATGTAGTTTTTCACGAAGAGGAATCTCCAGGTCCATTTTCTTTTAGACGTAACAATAAAGTTATTTTACATCTCTCTGAACCGTCTCCTGGTAAGGAAGCAATGATTAATCATAAATTGGATATTTAATGAATAGATTTAATTAATATAATATGTTTTTAGATAAAATGCCAGGACCAGCGGAGAACAGTGCCTTTAACTATATCAAATTATCATTCAAAGAAGGTCTGGATTCTAATTTTATAGTAGAATTAAGAGATGTACTTAGAAAAAGAACCTGGGAATCTGATCCTCCTATTCCGTATCAATTAACCGACATGAACATTCAAAGTTTACGTATTACATCTAAACCGCTGCCACAGATAAAAACAAGAACGGGTATCATAGGTATCGAAAGGAGTCTTCAAGAACAACAAAAAGCAACCGATGAGAGTATTTCTAAGGCATTCCAAGATCTTAAGAAGCTTATGGAAATGGCCAAAGATATGGTGGCAATATCTAAAACCATCTCTGCAAAAATAAGGGTGACTTTCAATGATTAATTTATAAAGTCGACATTCATAATTCAAGAATATTGCAGGAGAGACAAGGAGACATCACGGAGGATGAGACGGTTAGATTTAAGTCTTACTTGATGAGTCTAGGTATCGATGATCCCGTAACAAGAGATGCTTATAAAAGTAGTAATGAATATTTTAGACAATTAGCTATGCAACTTGCGCATATCCTAGAAGAACCAATCAAGGTAAATTATATTGTTATATTATTAACGAATTAGAAAATAATGTATACTTTTTTTTTTAGGAAGTAGGTGGAATGATGACACTTACTGATGTTTACTGTCGTGTTAATCGAGCTAGAGGATTGGAACTATTGTCTCCTGAAGATTTGTTAAATGCTTGTAGACAATTAGCATCTTTAAGTCTTCCTATAGTGCTAAGAATCTTTGACAGTGGCGTTATGGTTCTTCAAATTCGATCTCACGATGATTTTGCTGTTGCTGATTCTATAGCAGATTTAGTAAGTACAATGTATCTTTAAAAGTATAATAAAATAAAACAAAGTTATATTACATTATTATATTACACAGTTACAGGAAAGAGGTTCGTTAACTGCGGAAGAACTCGCACGATCCGAAGGAATATCTGTATTATTGGCACGAGAAAGATTATTAGTTACAGAAAAACATGGAAAAGCTTGCAGAGACGATACGATAGAAGCATTAAGATTTTATCCAAATTTATTTCTAGAAGAAAACGCGTAACGCTTAATTATTTTGACATTATGATTGGCATCATGGAATTATAAACGAACGCATCAGCCTTTTATTATTATTATTATTATTATTATTACTATCTTATTCATTAAGTATTTGTATATTTCTCGTGCCTTTATAAGCCGTGCACAATTAAGTCCAATGCAAAGATAACAAAAATAAAAAGAAAGCAATTTCTATCGTCCTCGCAGCGTGTTCAACATAGCTTGTTGCAAAAACAAAAGAAAAAAAAAACATAAATGTTATATTTAAGAAAAAAAATAAATAAATAAAAAGACAGAGAAAAGAAAAAGAAGAAGAAGACAAAAAAATACGAATGATATAGATATATCTATAATTTGAATAATTTTTATGTTATTTTATATTTGAATCAATATAAAATAATAGAAATATACTGTAACTTGTAACTCTTAATTTATTGATATCCCAGAAACTTGTTTATACTATGAATAGTAGTATATGGTAGTGAGAGAAAGAGAGGAAGAAAGAGAAAGAAGCAGGAACTAACTGACGTAGCAGGTATTAACGAGCGTCATGTAAACATACACATACATACGAAGACACACACGTGAACACAATAACGTGACCTTGGTGAGATCGGCAAAATGTCAAGGCTGCAATGAAATTTCCCTTCTTACTAAAATGTATTATTTATACATATATACGATAAAGAACGAGCAAATATAATCATACTGTTTATTAACTGAGAATGCAAGTATTATTAATCTTCCAGCATATACTACATGGACACATGTCATTAGTAATTATTCTCTTTCTCTTTCTCTTTCTCTTTTTTGTTTTCTACTGGTACCAGTAATTAAAAAAGAAAATACGATTTTTTTTTAACCAGTTAATTAGCATGTCGACTAATGTCATTCTATAAATATCATACTCTCTCCTCTATAGCTATATATATATATATATTACCCATATATCCATTATAAAAGTTAAATCCATTAAAGTCAATCTCCCTATGCCTTATACTAATGGCTTGATTATTACTTTTTCTTATTCCACGAGATGAACAAATTATCACCTGTGGTATACAGTTTCATGGAATTTATTTGAAAGAAAATTTATAATTATTATTATAAAAAAAACAAAGACACGAAAAAATAGTTATATTATATATATACACGTATATTCAAATATTAAATATTATTAACAGTAAAATGGTAACATGAAACGTGTGGATTAACACATGTATATATGAGATCAATTGCGAATGGGTTCACACGTACGTAGTTTGTGGTTTGCAATCGGCAAAAGAAAAGTCTTTATCGGCCGCAAAACACCAACGGCAAGTACGTTGACTTTGAAAGTAAGAGTCACGCATACACCATCGATAAATCTGATCACCTTTAAACATTTCTCAGATATATATATGTGTATGTATGTATACATATATATATGTTTCAATAAATTTGTTGTTGTTGTATTTTATTCAAATTACTATAGCATATATACATATAATGTTTGTTGAATCGAGAGAATAAAAAAGAGTAAAACTTGGATGCCATAGAGAGCATTAATGTCTATGTTTTAACGTTACATCATCATCTCCCGACTTTCTACATCCTCTTCGATATAGCTAAGCTACAACAAAAATTTCCTCCGACATTTAATCACGTGAAAGGAATCTCTCTTTCTCTTTTTATGTTTTGAACCAGGATCAATTCGTATTAAACTGTATTTTATAAATGAAGATTAGTTTATGATGATGATGATGATGATGATGATGATGATAGAATAAAAGTAAATGGTTGATAATCAAAATTACAAAAAAAAAAAAAAAAAAACAAAGAATTTGTTGGTCATCAATAAACGATTAGAAATTATTAGAAGAAAACTAAATAATAGAAATGTTGACTGAATTATATTGGGTTGGCAAGAAAGTAATTTCGGCTTGCACCAATAAATAAGGTTTGTTTCATTATTCTTTTGTAATGTTAAAATTTTGTTAGTTATTTAATTTAAAGTTCTTTTTTTTTTATATATATATATATAGAAACAATTGAGTTTTATTTTACACTAAAAAATCGAAATTACTTTTCTTGCCAACTCAATATTTTAACAAAGTAGATTTACACGATACGATTCTAAAAGAGGAGGATTTATTTTTCTTGAGTTTGTCGTAAGCTATCTAAACAGCTTTGAACAAACGTTTCCGAAACAAATCTCTTCTTCCTTTTGCTTGGGTAATTCTCTTTCACATGCTCTTCCTGTGTTTTCCCTGTCTTTTCTCGGGACATTGCACGGCGATTAGAGTTTTGTAAAAACGTTACGTGAAATTACGTAAAGTCATTTCCATGAGTTACAGAGCGTATTGACTGTCTAATCGGAACAAACCGTTACTTTGATTAGTTTCCCACTTCCTTTGACATACACACAAGGGGACAACTCAGGAACCATTGCACACATGTTTACTCGTAAAAACTTCCCCCTTACTTACCTACCCCCTCTTTTCCTTTTTATTTCATTTTTTTTTTCTTTCTATTTCTTTGCACGACTATTTAAGTTTTTATCTTACTTCATAAAAAAAGAAAAAGAAAAACAACGCATCACAATTTTTTGCGTATTATCTTTTAAATGATAATTATCAACGATAAATACCGACTTAATTATAAAGTACTTTACGCTAATACAAAAAAATCCGGCTCATTTTCTAGAAATCATTTTTATTATTCAAAACGTATCATCAAGATGCAATTGTAAACCCGTTAGACGTTCTCCTGGCATGTATAAATTTATAAGAATTATATATATATATATATATAATACATTTATGTTAATTAATATTAAGTATATACCTTATAGTACATACGATTGATCGTGAGTAATATCAATTAAAAAAAAAACAAAACAAGAAACAATAACAATTATGAGATTGTTCAAATTGCAATGTCTTTTTTTTAAAGCAAGTATCGGAATAATTAACGAATGAACGAATGAATTAATGACTATCCCACGATTTTCCATGTTATGGTGTAACGCATATTGTTTATTCTTCTGAGTATATGGAAAGAAAGAAAAAGAAAAAGAAAGAGAGAGAGAGAGAGAGAGAAATTAGTAAATAGATTCTTACGAAGTAGGAGTCCTGAACGTTGTCGAACGATACTTAGCGCATCTGGTTAGCATTCGCGTTTTGTGACGGCAAAAGTTGTACGGTCTACAGGGCACATGCAACCTGCTTTTGTGGATAATCCTTTATACAACGGGTGACTTTTAACAATTTGACTGAATGAATGACGAAAATGAAATGAAATGAAATGAAATCTTACAGGAATGGAATGTTGAACTTTGATAAATAAAGAAATGTCATGCTAGAGTGTCATCTTTATAAATGGAAAAATATAAGATGAAAGATAAGTAACGTCTCAGCTATACGCATGAATTATTTATGATGATCATTTTATTGAAAACGAGAAAATATTTCAACGATGGTGTAAGAAAGTGGTAACGATCAGTATTGATCAGACATCGTAAAAGATGGACAGTAAGTAGAAAGTACTGTATTTAATCAGACTTCGTCTAATAACAAATGAAGACAATGATGTGAAATGAATCAAAGTAGTAAAGATTTGTTTCGATCAGACATCAATTATACTAATCCACGAACAGTACTGCAATTGAAATTTTATTTCAACGAGATCAACAAAACTTCATTCATGAATAAAATAAGAGAATGAGAGAGAGATGAAAAATAAAAAATGATCAACTACAAATATGTTTGAAGTTTTCAAGTGTTACACGTATATCAGCAAATACACCCGGTAGATACACCTGGCGTTGAGTTTAACCGAGTCGAGTCGTATCAATATGTGTGCGTAGGTGGAGGGGAGAGAGTCCCAGTCCCTGTCGTTGAAAATTCTGGTGGGAGAAGTGTAAGAAGGTGGTAAGGGAGTTGAAGCGAGACTGGCGAAGAAAGGTTTGCCTGAAGAGTAAAAAGGATCAACAGAGTTCTCCAAAAAGAGGGAGAAAGAGGTAAAGAAAGAAAGAAAGAAAGAAAGAGAGAGAGAGAGAGACAAGGATCACGCGTTTAACCGCGTTCACCGAGGGAATCGTTTGCTTCGACCATTCGTTCGTTGATACCAACCTTTTTCTACCTGCTCGTTTTAAGGTTTTCGCACATCAGCCTAACTTGATTTATCAGGCAGCTATTGCTAAGTATCGCGAAGCTAATAGTTTAACGTTGAATTGAAAATCAAATTCAATTTTAATTCTAATCATAATTTTTCATCGTCATCATCATCATCATCATCATCATAAGAGTCCATTAGGATTCCAAAAGAAAATAATAATAATAATGACAGAGGAAACTTCAGTTAGCTTCACGAGCTAAAGTAAGAAGCATCAAACGAAAAGACAAGGCTGCCATTTGGTTGTGGCAAGAGAGTAATGGTGTTTAAATGCCAATCCGGTAACACGCTCGACACACTCTCAGCTTGACTTTCGTTGGACCAGTCAGAGTAGCGATTGGATCCAGTGTGCGAAGGCCTTTACAACGAACGACGTCCTCTTGCCAAGCTAGGAGTAGTGATGGCGGTGGTGGTGGTGGTAATGGGGAAGGAAGGTTGAAGGGTACCCCAGGTAGGGAGGTAGCATGGTTTGCTGAGCCATCAGAAAGAGGGGAAAAGAGCTGAATGAGAAAGAGAAAGACAGGAGAGTAGAGTAGTGGATAAAAGGAATAGGATGGATGATGAAGAGCAAGTGGGTCTTTTTCATGGAGTGGGGATTATAGTGATGAGTAAGAAAGAAAAGGATGGATGGATGGATGGATGGATGAACAAGAAGAGAAACAAGTCTAATGTAAGAGTCTTATATCTCTTTCTGATGATAAAGAAAACGGGGGTTCTAGGGCTGACTGAAGAAATGAAAGAGAGAAAAATCATAGAAAAATGATGAACATCAGATTTTCTTTCTCTTTCTTGTTTTTTCTTTTTCTTTTTCTTATCGAGTTGAGAGAAGGGAGGATATTATGATGAATAAAAGAGAGAGAGAGCGAGAGAGAGAGAGTATATACAACACAAGTGCAACATCATTTTTTCTTCCTCTCTCTTTTTAGAGTGGGGTATAGGGAACAAGGACAGATAGATTGACTCTTCTCTTCTTTCATCTCTTTTCTTTCGGTCAGAAGAAAGGGGTCTGAGGGAATGCAATGAAAGAAAGAAAGACAGAGAAGGTTACCTGGAAAGGCGAGAGAGCTTCGGACTATTCGAATTCAGGACAGAATCCATCCGAAGGTGCCGCGCCGGTTGGAACTCGACCGGTCGCGGTCTCTTTCTCTTTCTCTTTCTCTTTCTCTTTCTTTTTCTCTTTATCTTTCTCTTTCTCTTTACATCTATCTCTTTTTCTCCTGCATGTGCTACGACGTCGATCAAGAACCGATCGTGGCGAAGGTGTGGCAAACTAAAGAGAAAGAAAGAGAGAGAGAGAGAGAGACAAGAGAAAAGTGGTAGGAGTTAGAGAAGTAGAAGTAGAAGGAGGAGGTAGAAGAGGAGGTGGAGGTGGTGGTGGTGGAGGAGGAGGAGGATTCAACAGTGAGGTACCGAAAGGAGAGGAGGAAATCACCGTGGCTGTTGCTGTTGCTCTTCAGTCGTGAGACTCGTGTTTCGTGTTCTGCGTTTTACGTTACGCGATTATTATAGTTGTTCAATCCTTTGGTGTCTCTTGACAGTCTATAGAAATAAATAAAGAAAGAATATCTATATAAGAGTGTGAGGAATAATAAAGAAAAAGAAGAATTTAATATATAACTTGGATTATCAATAGTTTTTGACTTTTTTTTTCTTTTTGAAAATTGTGTTTTTATGATTGAAATCAGATGTTAAAAGTTGAAAGATTTTTGAAACAAGTCTTATTGTTGCTTTACTTACTGTTGCTATTTGTTGGCTGGCTATATTGCTGATTATTCGTAGCAACAAGTTGGCAATTCAACGTGGAAAAGTAGTCAGAACTGTGTGCAGCTGTCAGACGAGACTACTCTCGAAGTTCTCTTCTATCCGTCTTTGTCTTTCTTATTTTGCACGATTCTCCCCACTCGTGCGTGATTCGTCGTCGTCTCTACTCTTTTTCTCTCTCTTTCTTTTTACTCCCATACCATAGGATGGTGCTCGTACGTAGCTCGTAAACCTCAGACGCCGTGCTCACGTTTAGTTTAGACTCGCTTATACCGTAAGAACGGCCTTACACACGGTTTTCGCGAGGTGCATCGCGAACACAGAGACCAGTTGTGTTCTATCTTCTTCTCTTTCCTACTTATATATATATATATACACCTTGAAGTTTTTGTGAGTGCAAGAAAACACAGAGAGAGAGAGAGAGAGAGACAGACAGAGACAGAGAGATAAAGAGAGAAAGAGATAGAAGGTGCATTTGTACGATCATTTATTAAGGTGAGTCTAGATCGAAGTGTTCGGTGAAGGCTAACAAGACGATCAGGACGAGTTCCTTTTTTTTATTTATTTGTATTTTATTGATCTTTCTCTCTTTGACTGTGCTATTCGTTGTAATCGTCAAATCTTTCGATTTCTTTCATATATTTGAATTTTATTGTTGTTCGTTGATTTGGAAATATTGAATCTTTAATATTTATATATTTTTTTGTTCAACATTAAAATTGTCCTCCTCCTCTTCTTCTTCTTCTTCTTCTTCTTCTTTTCTTTATTTTGTATTCATCATTATACTGAAGAAATAATTTTGGTGTCTTGATAGTGAGAATCGATTCAAGCGCAAGATGGATAACGTGGAAACGGGTTTAAGCGTGAAAGTAATCGAGGAAGCAGTTGAGAGAGAAAGAGAGAGAGAAAGAGAGAGAGAGAGAGAGAGAGAGAGAGAGAGAGAGAGAGAGAGAGAAAGAGAGGGAAGGTAGATGTTAGACGGGTAACAGCAACAGCAACAGCGTGTTGAAACCCGGTAAAAGCATCATTTTTCTACTAAATCTTCTTCTTCATGTTAACTTTTTTCTGTTTTCTTTTTATTTTTTTTTTCTTCTTCCCTTTTTCTTGATTTTGATCATCCTCTTAGACTTCGTTCATTCTATCTGGAGCGAATAAAATCGAATTAGTTGTGGAACGTTACCAATCGAAAAGATCGAATAGCATTGTCATTCGTTACGGATGATCATTTTTACAATGAAATCACACTTCCGATTTCTCGTATTCTAAATGAAAACATGAATTGTCTTAGTTGAAAGAAAAGTATCGTGTAAAATTCAGACATCACTATTAAGACACTAATTTATTTCGAAATAAATATTTTGAAAAATGATTAGACGACATATGCAAGTGTGTGCACATAATTATAAAAGTGATTTATAAATCATTTATTTATCTTTTGTTATTTCATTTGAACACCAAAGGAATTTTATATAATATTGAAATAACAAACAGAGTATCTGTAACAATTCATTAATGGTATCAAATAGTTATTATTATAAATAATTAAATATTATAAATATAATAAATATAATAACTGTATAACCAATAACTATATTTATATTTGATATTTATAATAACTAACTATATTTAGTTATAGTAGTTATAACAATTAATAATAAGTATAATTAGTTATTGTAACTAAATTAATATTTTATTATTATAAAATAATAATAATAGTATATATATATATATATAGAATATTTAGTTAGTTTTTATAAATATCAAATATAAATATAGTTATTGATCAAATTCTTTGAAAAAAAAAAAAGAATATCTTATCGAATTGGAAAATTGAAGAAAAGGCAATTTTAAGGAACAATAAAATAGATTTTCTTTCTTTCTTTTTTTTTTTTTTCTATTGGTTTCTTTTATGGTTTCGGTATGAATAGTGCGAGTAATGGCCCTACGTCTAAGGGGTAGCAAGGATGTTAAGAAGAGCTCGTACTACGTTTGGTATCTTGGTGCGAGGGAGGCCAAGGGTGTGGACGCGATGCCCAGTGCCATAGCTTACCTGCTCGAACGAGAACGACTTCAAGAACCTTTCAAGGTCACGTTACAGGTGAGCACGCTACTACCATTTCGAGATCCGGTTTTGGCGCCTACCATATCCCAAAATATTCTAACACTTCAACTTTGTTTATCGATACGAGATAAGAGAAGATGTTTATATATATATGTGTATGTGATGTGTGTGTGTGTTTATATCATGTCTATATTTATATATATATATGTCTATATTTGGTTATCTCTTTCTTCTTTCTTTTTTTGCTTTTTTTTTTCACTCATCTTTTTGATCATTTTTTTTTGTCCTTTAGAGTGAAAGTTAAATAAAATGTCTCGTAAAGTTCGCTTTTTTATATTATTCTGCTGAATCTTAAAGAAGGGGAAACAAAAACCTGATATTTCGTGAAATTATCATGTAATTTTTTTGCTTTTTCTATCAAAAACAAGTTTAGTTGAATACGAAGGATAGAAATTCGAAGTTGAGATAGGAAAGAGAATTAAATTCCCCCTCAAAAATAATCTCAGTTATATAGTTTCATTCTTAAATTCTTGTCTCTTAGCTTTTCTCTTCCCTTTTTTTTTTTTTTCTTTTTTATCGACCCAAAACGAGGACTCTATCTTAAAATATTTTCATTTCATATAAACGCGTGTGGAATGATGACATTAGAAATCGTATATAGAAAAATTGAAATAAAATGAAAGAATCTTTCAATAAATTTATTCCAACTTGACTTCAACATTCCTATTCTATTATCGCAGATTCTTCATAAAAATAAGAAAAGAAAAGAAGAAAAAAAATAGGAATTTATTCGAACGTAGGTTTTCTCTATTTAATATTGATAAGAAGATGGAATTAGAAATGGAGATTAGGAAATGAAAAAAAAAAAGGTTAATCCACTGTGGAATTCATTCACTGTCGTTACTTCGATTCATAAAACGATTCAACAACAATTTATCGATGTCAATATGATCGTTCATTTAAAAAAAAAAAAAAATTAAAAAAAAAAACACTTTAATATTCTAATAACCCCATTATGAGAAAATGTTTTGAATTTGATCAAGAATCTAATTATTTTGGAATGAAGAAGAATGAAATTTTCAACCTGTAAACCTAATTTACAAAATTTATCCTATTTATTAAAAATAATATATATATAAATTACGTGTCACGTTGTTTGTCCGTAATGGACTCCTAAACTACTGAACCGAATTTAATCAAATTTTGTACACTGTGTGCAGTTTCATTCAACATGAAAGATAGGATAATTTATATCGCAATTTATAATCACAATATTATTTGTTTATTAACAAAGAGTCATGATTATCTCTGTTAGTTCGATAAGATTCTAACAGATGACTTTATAAGGTAATTCGTTGACTTAAATACGTGTGTATCGGACTGATTGTGGAGCCACAACAACGTGTGGCAAGGCATCCACAGTTTTTATATAAAATATCAAAAATAATAAATATATTAAATATATGATTAAAAAAATAAGTTATATTTTTTAAATAATATAATATATTATTGTATATTATATATATATATATATATATAAAAATTATCTAATGTAATGATCTAATATATTTACAAAACGTCATAGAAACGTGGGAAAGACCTTGGCACTCAATTAACACCTACACGAATACCTTATGCGAATGAATTATGATGAGTTAATATACGTATAACGAATTCATTGACCCGAATCTTCATACGACGAATGAAACGAGGTGTCTTCGATATGGGAAAGAGAAACGGCATGCGAAATTCTTTCTTTCTTTCTTTCTTTCTTTCGTCTTTCGTCTTTCTTCAATAAGAAGAAGAAGCAGTTACGATTTAGCGCGAGCGATTTGAAATCAAATCGTAATCTTGTTTGTAAGAAAGTCATAGGAACGTTTAAAACGTGCTAAGAATGAAGAATCATTTCATATATCTATTCGTGTTTTATAACGGCAATTAACTTTAGAAATTAGTTTTGATTAATGGTATATAATCATATCAATTATATTGACTTTAAATTAAATAAATTAAAAAAAAAAAGAAAAAGATAAAAAACATGAAAGAAGACTGAAAATGAATTTTATAATTATACAAAATATTTGATTTTTAATTACAGAGATAATAGGTATATATATATATTTAGTTTTGTTAAATGAATTAAAAAAAAAAAATAACATGAAAATGTGTTTTTTTTCTTTTTTTAAAATCTTCCAGTTAAATTAAATCTCGCAATACTTAATAACGAAACGATTATTTTCAATTTAAAGTTTGCTACAAATTTCGCGAAGCATCAAAACGCGTTGCGTTGCTCGTGTCGAAAAAGAAAAGAATGAGATTATTATTATTATTATTATTATTATTATTATTGCAAAATAATAGAAGTGAGTGATCCGTCTAATTATTGTGCAAGTGTAATTACGAGTCTTTGTCATAAAGAGAAAGTTTTAAAAAACATTGTCGAATAAGAGTAATTTAGGTATGTGTGTTTGTGTGTGTGTGTGTGTGTATGTGTAGGTTAGCGTATTATGCATTAAAATTTATCATGCGAAAAATCACTATGATCATGTTATCACAACCGATGATAATATAGCATAGATTTGCTTAGGTTGTGTTGTTGTTGTTGTTGTTTGCTTTTAAAGTAGTAGTTGTAATAGTAGTAGTAGTAAGAATGTGTTTAAGATGACGCCTTCTTTCTGAACGTGTTTTGGTTTTTTTTTCTTTCTTTCTTTCTTTATTTATTTCTCTTCCTCTTTTGGCCTTCTAAACGAGGATCGCACGTAATAGTCGAGCGAGATGTAGTAATTACGTAGCTGTTAGTTTCCGCTATCGTGAACAATGCTTACGCGTGTCACACTAAGAAATAAAACGTATAAAAGACCCTAGTTTTTAAATATTAAATTTTCATATGATGTTTTCTATCTCGTTGAAGAAATATTAGTTGTTTCATATCTTTTAATAAATAGTAAATTAATTATTATTATTGCATGTTTTTACCGAAACTTATACTTACAACTTGTTCTTAATAAGAATCATCGATATAAAAAATCTTGAAGACCGTGAGAGATAAGAGTTAAATATTGAAACTTCATTTTGTCATTGTTTTATGATCTGGAAAAAAGAACAAAAAAAAATATTATTTTAAATTATTAGATTTAATATAATAAAAGCAAGTATAGATCAAGCAAGATTGATCACACCTTTATTTGAACATAGATTGATATCTTTGATCATAATTACAATCAAAACATCTGACAATGTTACACACCTGTGAGAAAGAAATATAATTACAGATTTTTTTTTATTAGATCTATAATAAAAAAGAAAAACCAAAAAAAAAAATCAAATATAAGAAATTTAACACACTTATAAAATACTTGAAATAATATTTGAACGTATACAATGTTCTATCTTTGATCAAATCATTGAGATATCACTGTTACAAGTCATTTTTTACCTTTTAATATGCTTAGTAACGTATAACTGATGTGTTACACGATTAAGATTTCATTCTTGTCGACAGGTGAGCAGTAAGGGTCTTAAGATCATTCAAACTGTTCTTCCTGGAGGTTCTACTAGATCAGCTGTGAAACATTTGGTACCAGGTCATGCTGTATTGGCTGCTGTACAACGAGAAGACATCGTAGCAGCTACTCTGCTTTTACCAAATCCTGCTACCAATAATCCAGTTCATGTTCATGCATACAGGTTTTTATTCTTTTCTTTTTTTTTTATATATTTATTTATTATTTATTATTTATTATATTAATATTAATTGTTTCTTCACGTGTCTGATTATATAGCATTTTATGGCCATGAATTCGTTATCATACTTTCATCTCATTTATTATCATAATCTCTTTCTTTTTCTTTTTCTTTGTTTTCTTTTTTAAATAATATTATTCATGATAATAAATATTGTCTTCACATTTTCTTGATTTTATTTTATTTTATTTTTTTATTAAATATGTTTAATAAAGAAAAGAAAAAACGCGCGTTCTCCAAAGATGGAGGTCGTTTGGTTCATCAACTCGATCGTACGGATTATAGGTCGCTATCTTATTTAATTATGCTTCTCTTTCGTATAACGAGCCGTTAACGTATTTTTTTTTTCTTTTTTCTTTTTTTCATTATAACTCAACGATGAGGAATCCACCTACTCTCTTTATATTCTCATGATTTAAAAGTTTCAAGAGATCAGAAAGACGATCTTCGGTTTCTCCGAGATAAACGTGATTTGTTATGGAAAATCTGGCCCAGTTTATGGATTCTAATTATCACTTTACTTATCATTATATATGATTTCATTATAATATTAATAATAATACACACACACACACACATACATACATTATCGTAACTTTTCGTTCGATCAGATGCGATTCGGTTGAGACTGCTGAATTATTGGGTGGACAATTGAAAGCATTGGCCTCGCAAGCTGATAATTTAGTAAGAGTATCATCCGGGGAAGGTAGAATTCGAAGTAATTTGGGTAGCGATGGACGAAGTACAAGAGAATCAGAGTCATCTGAAGGTAGCGGGGAATCGAAACATGATCCTATTCAAACCACAACGATCTACGAGTCACTGGCAGCTGAGTTGAGAGCTAAATTAGGTAAGAGATCAGACAGGAGAGATGACAAAAAAATGATGACTAAGTTTAACTTAAGTTTTAAGTAAGAAAGAAAGCAAATAAAAGAATGATGTCATCCTTGTTCTTCCGCTAGGTCGTGGTAATTCTGGAGACAACGATGTTGGTCCTATATTGTTACCACCACGTGACTACGACACAGTTCACAGGCATCGTGGTAACTTGGCAGGTATCGAATTTAGGCGTTGCTTAAATCAGACCATAGTGGGTGGTAGCACAGCTGTTGATCGAGGTGGTACAAGGAGTGCAGCTAGCAGTGGAATTGGATCGGATAGTGCAGCTACTCCTCCACCATATCAATCTCATCATCCTTTAGGTCCAAGACCTTCGAGACCTTCGAGAGATTCCTCTTCCGGTAAGTTAATAAATGTCTAACTTCATTTGAAATGTTTATTTCTATTTCTTGTGGTTGGTGTCTTATTACTGGTGTCGGTAAAAACGATTTCTACGTGTAAATTCATGCCCTCTCCCCCTTGCTTCGTTGTTGGTTCAATGCACTCTATTGAATAAACTTACATATGCGGTCGTAACTCTTCGTATACCACCGTATGTGTATTGAATAAACTCATGGAAAGTCGTCAATTGGATCGATTGGATCGCGATCCAATGAACGAGTCGTCGTAACGTAGAGAGGATATTCATCATGACTACCGTCCTGGCTAGATCTTGCTTAAACGAAAGTGAAAGTTTCCTTATTTCTTTCTCTCTCTCTCTCTCTCTCTCTCTGTCTCTGTCTCTTAATCTATCTTTTATTAATTCTTTTTTTGCGGATCACCAACAGGAAATTGACGGGAACCGATGAAACACGATGTTTTTTTTTTTTTTTATTATTACAAAAGTACTTACAGAATTTTATGAGAGAGTTCAATAATATCAAGTCAATTAACTTTCATACTTCTTATCAATTGATTACCATTTTTTGTTGTCTTTTTCTTTTTTTTTTTAAATCGTTACTTGAACTTCGATTTAACGTTTTCTTTTCTTATTGTAATTCATGTGGATTAACGTGTTCGCAAATACAGTAGAATATCATTATTATTGCAACGCTGATACTTTCTTGAATTCTTTAGTTTCTCTTGTTTTTTCTTGTTTTTTTTTTTTTTTTTTTTTTTTGAAAATGTCGAACGTCGTTAGAATATGGAATGCAAGTTGAAAAGACAGAAATTTGGACGCTTTCTATTCGTCTCGGCAGGTGTGTCCGCACGAATCTTATCGGCTCTCGTAGAAAACCGGGCAGAAGCGAACGACGACCCCCTAACCCAATTTCTTCTCTTACCCACCTCGAAAATTCGAATGGTGTGTCGAACACTTACGTGCATTCTTCGTATTATTTTTTTCTTTTTTTTTTTATATATATAGTCTCTCTCTCTCTCTCTCTTTCTCTCTCTTTATAATCATCATCGTCATCATTTTCTTCTTGTTATTATTCTTATTTTTATTCCTTCCCCCTTACTTACGTCGTATCGATATTCAAAACGGAAACGAACGGTGCAATATCCTTTCCAATTAAAAATCTCGTCGTGCACATGGAAAATAATAAATATTAATTAGTTTTAAATAATTCAAGTAATAACGATCTGACGAATGAAATATGCACACACACAGAAAAAAAAAAAATAAAAAATAAAATAAAACAAATTGAAAGTTCTTCCTGTTTGAATTAAAAACGATTTGTATTTGAATGAAATATAGTTAGAGTGGTATGATATATAATAAACGAGATGAAAATTAAAAGAGATTAAAGATTTCCATTTCTTTTTCTTTTCTTTTACAAAACACGTTTTTTTTAACGGACGACTGACTGACCCATATCGCTTCGACGATAAAGAAAATAAAAAAAAATAAAATAAAAAATAAGAGAGAGAAAGAAAGAAAAAGAAAGAAACAACTTCTTAACATCGGATATACTTCAGTGTTTAAGAATGTATGTATATATATATATAATATATATGTACATACGTAAGATGGAACGAGATGAAAAGAGAAGGAAAGAGAGAGAGAGAGAGAGAGAGAGAGAGTACCACCAAGCTTGGGCACCTGTTACAGTGGAAGGTGTACCGTTAGGACGTCGTGTCAGCGACAGGTACCAGCCTACGGGCACATGTATCTCGATTCTAGGGCTTTTACTCGACCGCAAAAACCAACCAGCTTTGGATTGACTCGTGCTATCGATTATACTACAAACGTCACACACGTTCAATCTCCGAAACTTATCCTAACTTATATCCATTTCGTTGACAACACACATCTATCGTTAAACTTTTATTTCTATATTGACCTGAAACACACATAACGTTCGTTGTTATTATTATTTCACTATAGAAAATCATTTTAGATTATAAGATTGAAAATTAGATTTTGATGGATTTAGATAGAACCTAATTTGATTTATTTCCAATATTTTTTTTTGTTTTTGTTTTTAATTAATTTAAATATTATTTGTCTAAAAAATATATGTTGATTTTTTCTTACGTTTAATATAAAATAGGAAAAATATAATATATATATATAATAATAAATTTTAATTAATTAATAATAACATTAATATTAGTCATTTTAAAACAAACGATATATAACATCCATAAAAAAAATCTAGTGTTAATATTTTTCATTCAAATTAATAACTAGTGCTTCTTTTCTATTTTTATTTTATTTTAAAATAACATCTAACTACTAATCACAATAATTATGCAAAAGAATTGCAATAAATATTAGAAATGATTATAGGAAATATAATATTTATAGAAAATTGTTTCTCATATTGAATGGATGTCAATCAACGCTTTCCAATGTCAACTATTATTTTTTTTTTCCTTCATCACCCTCTCTGTTCCCCCCTTTCCATCAATCGAATACAAATCATGATTCTAGATCGGTACACAACTGGTATACTTCTTGGGTCTGGCATAAATTATATAGAGAAACAATTTGCGTATGTATAAGTTGATAACGCACGTAATAGGTAAGTCGCGTGAAAAGCAACGTGCGTTGCCTAGATTCCATTGCGTGGAATTGTCCCGGTTGGTTGATTGGTAGGTAACCTCCTCGATTAAATTATTATTACGTCTTTTACTGTAAGGTAGTTCGCCGTGAAATCGATTCCGTATTTACTATTCAAATACCGTTTTATCATCTTTCGAAAGAGAAACACTTGTTTTGTATGACTTACTTGCAAAAAAGAAACAAAATTGAAGAAGAAAAAAAACAAATAATAATAATAATAATCAAATTATTTTACGGAGTACAACTACACCAGAATAAAAAAAAAAAGAAACAATAATAAATTACCAATGCAATAAATTTACATAATTATGCGAATTACTTTTTTTTTTATTAGATTAATTAATTATTTTTCATAGTTACTTTTTTCAATGAAATGAATTTTTTCAATTCAAATGAAAAAGGATTGAAATTAAATGTACTCTCGTGGTGTTTCATGATGAAAAGACAAAACACACTTTTGATCCTAGTTTTCATCCTGATATTGAGAAAAGATGTTAGTCAATCGACTAGACAACCTTTAACACTAAGAACTTAGCACGGTAACGGCACTCCAACTCTCTCTCTCTCTCTCTCTCTCTCTCTCTCTTTCTCTTTCTTTCTGTTTCTGTTTCTCTTATAGTTTCTTTCTCTATGTAAGAGATTATTGCGCAAAATAGTGGTTTTGAGGTGCGTTCTAGAGAAAGACGAGACGTTATGAAGAAAGAAGCCGAGGTCGTTGGCAGAACGATGATAGTAATGACCAGAATAGAAGACGATTACGATGTTTCTAACGATCAAGAGAATGATCATGATGATCATCATGATTATGATCATCATGATAATTGTGATGAGAGGAGACCATAATAACTATGATACAGTGTCCTTTCCTATAACGTTGACCAGGACTAATGTGGAATCCAAGAAAATTCGTACGTAAATCGTGCTCGTGGGAGGCCAAACATGAAGTTCCGCATTCTCGGCCCATAGCCTGAGGCTTTCTTTAGCCTTCTTCGTGTCTTATTAAAGAAGAAGACGAAGAAGAAGAAGAAGAAGAAGAAGAGGAGGAAAAAGAAGAAGAAGAAGAAGAAGAAGAGAAGAAGGCATAGTCGTCTTTATATTTTCTCCTTTCATTCCCTACCTGTCCACACACTTAAAATCTCTTCTCGTGTGACCTCTCTCTCTCTCTCTCTCTCTCTCTCTCTCTCTGTTGGATTTTGCACTAGAGAATTCTAAACGACCGATTTGCCTTGACTTGCGTTTTCTCGAATCACCTTACTGACCGAGATGCTAGAGATTTTATCTAGGAACGTTTTATATCATGACTCTCTTCACTATATGTATATATATATATATACACATATTTAAAGAGTTTCTAATAGTTCAGAGAAAAAGATTCATTTACGATCTTTTCACATTATTATTTACTTTTTCTTCATCTAACCACACGTTGACCTAAAATCTTCAAGTTTCTTTACCTGTTTGTATATACTGTAAGAATCTATTAATATTGAATTATTTTACAGATGACGATTGGGGTGGTGCAGGTACGGAGGAAAGTCATTATTTTCCTGATGTAGAAACAACTGGTTCGAGTTTGACATTACCAAGGTTACCTAGAAGTCCAGAAAGACATCCAACTCAGCAACAAACACAGACGAGAGGTGTCTCGCCAGGTTGCAACAGGAATCGTAGGGCACCAGAATTAAGACAAAGATCACCGAGTCCTCAGTATCAGCCAAGGATTAATCCTGGAGAAGTGACAAGTCCAAGAGAGAGGTTCCAAGATGCTAAAGAGATGTTCAGGGCTATGGAGAGGGAAGCTATAGCAAGACCAGTCTTATCAAGGCAGAGAGAGTCCGATGGTCATCATCATGTACACAGGTAAAGTTTCTATCATAATAAATATAAACATTTTTTTGTTTCGTTACTAGACTTGATGTTGACCGAAGGAAAAAGTACGATTTTAAAAGTAAACTGACCCTGTTGAAAGATCGTCGTTTCACCAAGATACAAACCAGATTCCATGGAAAACTGGTTGATTTAATTTTCTTGTAAAAGTTCCATTGATGTGTCACACATAGTAGTCATTTTCATTCTCGTCATATTTGGTACGAGATTAAGTTTTCCTCTTTTCATTACATTACTTTTACCATCAAAGTTTCTAAAATGTCATCTAGAGATATAAGATTTCTCTAATATCCTTGACTCATTATTATTCAACTGGTAATTATCTTTTCTATTTGATTCTTACAGGGTGGAATCATCAAGACAGGTTCACGAAGATCGATCTATTCGTTCTCATCAAACTAATGTGAATTCTTCTTCTTCTGTACACGAACAACAACAACAACAACAAATAAGACGAAGTCATCCTGAGCTTGATAGAGAAAATGAACTTCCTTATCGAGCTAGACCAAGACCTAGAACTCATCATTATGGAATTGAAAATTCTGAATCTGAGACTACAACTAGGCCACGGCCAAGAAGCTTTTATGAAAATCCAGTTGTTGGTAGAGAGTTTCGTGATCAGAGGAATTCTATCGATCCTAGAGAAGTGAGAAATTATTATAATATTTTTCTTTTTTTTTTATATATAATATATCATTTTAAAAATATGTTTTAATTTTGGAATGAAATATACGAAATTTCTATATCTTCTTTCTAATCATTTTTTCATTCACATAATATTTGTAAATGTTTCAACAAAATATTGAACAAAACATTCGTAAATCTAATATATCAATGGATCTATAAATCTGAAATCAATATCACACAAATTATTGTCATTTAATTGATCATTATTAAATGAAAACATTGATATTTCAGTCAAGAGATTTTCGTGATCGAGCATATACGAGAGAATTACGTGAAAAAGTACGTGCAAGGGCTACGACATATCAAGAATTATCAGAACACGAAAGATATCCTGGTCTCGATCGTGAAAGTGCCAGACCACCGTTGGAAATAGTCCCGACACCCGGTAGATATCGTCACAGTTATGCAGAACCACCCAGACTTGGATTAGCAGCTTTACATCCTTACTGACGAACAACACGATTAAACATTCATGATCGTTAATAACTAAAAACGATTTTTAATTTTAATTAATTTCTACTTAATCGATCGATTATGTGATCGATTCACAGCAGCACGTTGAACAACACACATGAACGTTTTCGAATTGTTCCTTATATTCGTTTTAAATACGAACATTTATATAAAAAAAAAAAAAAAAGAAAGGAAAAAGACAAACAAAAAAATCAAATGAAAAGTTGTTGATGTTCGTTATTGTTAATGAAATAATGAAGTTATATTATAAGAGATAAAACGATTTTGTTAATTTAAAAACAAACAAAAAAACACAAAAAAAAACAAATATGATCGATTTAGAATATTAATTATTTTCATACTACGAACAAGCGTTATCCTCGTTATAACAAAAATGGGGAATAGGCTACTACTCTATTCTCTCGTTTAAAATCGAGAGAAAATTGTTGATAATTAATGCGAATTACAAAATACCTACTATATTGTTATGTGACAGATGCCAGACTAACGATAATAATATTAAATAACAACAAATTGTAATAACGTAAATAACAGTAACAATAATAATTGTAATAACATGTGAATTTATCTCTATCTCGATTTTCTTCCCCCCCTTTCTTTTTTGTTTTTCTTTTCCTTTTTTTTTCATTTTGATTTCGAATCATTTACTATGTAACAGTAACAATAATAATTGTAATTTTTATTGTTTATAATTTCTCGATTTTTTTTTCCTTTTTTTTCATATTTTACAATGAATTTTATTTATTTATTCGATTGAGAAATTATTGAATAATTCTTCTCACGAAATACAAAATATTTATGTGTGTGTGTGTGTGAGAGAGAGAGGGAGACAAAATCTGAGAAAGAATTTCTAAATTTACCTGAATACGTATTCTTAAAAAAAAAAAAAAAAATTCAAAAAACGTCTACTTGATTTTCGAAATGTGAATATCTCAAAGTTGACACAACTTTCTCTACAAAATTCACTTCTCTTACTTTCGTATGTTTTGTGATGATACACGTGAAATTTACGTGACGTATTTTTAAAATATATATCTTGTCGTTGATCTCAAGGATTAATTCTGTATAAAATAAATATCATTATTTATTTTAATATAATATTATTTTGTGCGACATCGCATCGAATTGATATTTAAAATGACAATAATACGATTAAAAATATATATTGAAAAGGGTTGATTCAAAGAATATAATTTACTTTCAAATAAAATTGGAGAGTTTTAATTTAAAAAAAAAAAAAAAAATAAAATTATTACAATGACTAATATATGGAATTAATTCGACAGGCTCTGATTTTTTTTTCAGAATTCTTAAAATTATCAGAGTGGGTTGAGATTAACGATTAGATGATAATTAACTATGTCACGAATTTATTTATTTATTTTTTTTTTTTTTAACTAAACTTTCTAGTTACTTAATCTCTTCTTTCTTTTTTTTTTTTTTTTTGATGAATTTAATGGAAGGGAGAGGTGAACAAACGTACTGAGCAAATTTGTCGGAAAGAATTATTTTCCAAAAGAATGATTTATTTGCACGCTTCTTTTGCTTCTTTTTGTGAATTAATGGAGGAGAGGGATAGGTAACTGTGTACTCGGTCGAATAGTAAATTACTTTCGCGGTTAACGGAGCAGGAAGTGACCACTTTGCATTGTTTGATATACTTCAATCTCTTACACGAATAGCAAATGAATAGAAAGTCATTCTAGGTGGTGTGGCTGAACGTAACACGATCTCGATGCACCGTTTTCTTTTGCAACCTAACATTCCAATCCGATCTATCAAGAATTATAAACATTAATATATTATAATATTCAATTATTTTATATAAATAACAAAATATATAAATAATATTTAAATAATATATAAAAAAGATATAAAATAATATTATTATTTATATAATATTATATTAATATTATTATATGTATTTATATAATTACATATAATAATATTTATTATATAAAATAAATATATTATTTATATATATATAATATTATATTAATTATATTATATTTTATAATTTAATAAATATATATAGTATATATATAGTAGTATATATAATATAATAATATATAATATTTATTATATTATATAATATATTATAAATATAAATAATGTTTGTAGATTACATTTGTAGCTTATAGCAATAATTATTTATGAATTAAACACATATTATAAATAACATTCAATAATATAGTATACTATAGTATTTAAATTGTAATTTTAATGCAAAAGGATTTTGTGATAAACTTATTTTGAAAATCATTTCTTATACAAAAATCAAAGTAGAGTAGAAATAAATCGTTGCGTCAAAGATCTATTTAGAAATAAAATATTTCAGTGAAAGTATCCGTACAAAAGTTGAACGTTTTTTTTATATCACAGTTCATTATTGATTATACAAAAATTTTATCAATTCTTTTTTCTTATTTGTTCATTTACAAGGAAAAATATTACGTGATTTTATTATTATCATCATCATCATCATTATCATTATCATCATCATCCTGTAAAATGAAAATTTAAATGAACGAGTATTACAAGATGCAAATTTGAATTTCGTAAAAATGAGAAAAAAACGAAACAAAAAAGATTGAATCATTTTTCGTCCTCTCTTTGGTTTCTTTTTTTTCCTCTTGACGAAGTTTGCAATCGTTTGGAACGTTATACACAGTTCTGAAGAGAACGTGTCTGCATACCGGGTGACCGTTACGGTGACGCATGAAAACGGTACAAAGAACCACTATATTGTAAGTACCTCGGTTAGCAACGAGTAAGTAATGTAATGTAATTCGCACGATGTGTGTGTATATATGTGTATATGTATATGTATGTATAAGAACAGCTTTTAATGAAATTCAACAATTCGATTACCGTTGTAATTGCATTCTATTCTAACAAATAAATTGGCAAATGATTTCTCGAGATCTATTACTGACTTAGGTATGCAAATTACGATAATTAAATAAACAATTAATTGAAATTGTATTCAAGTTGAATGGCGATATAAATTATTGAGAATAATTTGAACCCTTAGAGTGTTCTGGACGAATATATGCGTTTGATCAAAATTATTAACGTGATTGTTTGATGCACACATACGTTTTTGTTAATATTAATGTAAAATAGTTTAATCTTTATATTAATTAATTAAATGATATTCTCTTAAAAGAAAAACTGTAATTATTAAATGTAATTTATTATTAAAATCTGATTAATAATAAACTAATTTGTTCTTACAAAAATATTTTTATTAAAGATTTAGTATTCAGCATTCAAACAGGGTTCAAATTCTATGATTCAAACTTTCTATAATAAAAAAAAAAATAAAATAAAAATATAGAACAATTTATCTTGTTGATAAAAAAATACTCACAAGTTCACTCATACAAACGTGTTATATTATTATAGGGGCTTTGATAAAGTTTACAAGTTAAAAAAACACTTCCTTGTTTTAATATCAGTTGTTCATTGTTAAAAAAAAAAAAATTCTCTTCTAACTTTGTATGACGAAGAAATAAAATTTGACTGTGATATGTAGCACTGAAAAAAAAAAAAAGAAATATTACGATCATTAAAATACGTGAGATAATTAAAGAGAGAAGTACCTATACCTAAAGTATAACAATACCAATCAATGCAACTTCCGTCGATTTATTATATCTCATTAAATTACAATCGTGAAACCGGTAAGACCTTGAAGAAAAAGAAATTAAAAAGGATTCATCGTTCTTTCTAATCACGATCGATAGATAAGATCATTCCTTAATATTTCCCATGACCGTGTGTGTGGTTTTTTAAACAGCGTGAAAAAAATCATACGAAATTTTTTTCCAATCCAAATAATCAATCAACAAAATCTACATAATTAAATAATTAAATACTTTTACATTAAAATAAAAAGAAAAGATCATTAACGATCTCTTAGAATAATTTTTATATTAAATTCATATTACATTTATGATAAACAAAAAAAAAAAAAACCAAGTTCTCTTTTCAATAAACAAATAAAGAACGGCCTCGTAGATAATTATGGCAAGTTTGCAGAGCTTATCAGAAGTCCTTGTAACATGCTCCAGTTCTCTTGGTCGACCTTGAATGCGTCCAACGCATGCTGTACATATAACCGTGTATATATCTGTCTAAAAATAAATACATACTGTTAGAAATGTTATTTCTTTCTATTTTATATTGAGTTGATTTTTTTTTTCTTTTTTTTCTTTTTCTATCCACATATTGCATTAAACATAAGTAAAAAAAAAAAAAATGACATACTTTGCGAAAATTCGAAGTCAATTTTTTCGAAAAACAAAGTCTCCAATGAAAAATATTTATTTTATATTTTTGATTTATTTTTTAGTGTATAATCATCCCCTTTTTGCTTGTACCACCAGTTACAGATCACCCTGTATATTATATATATAGTAGGGGTGCCTCGCCACGTGTTGCTGTGGCTCCACAATCAGTCCGATACACACGTATTTAAGTCAACGAATAACCTTATACAACAAATAACTCGCAATAAAATAATATTGCGATTATAAATTGAGATATAAATTATCCTATCTTTCAAGTTGAATGAAATTGCACACAGTATGTAAAATTTGATTAAAATCAGTTCAGTAGTTTAGCAGTCCATTGCGGACAGAAAACGTGACACGTAATTTATATATATTAAGAAAATAAGATACATATATTTAATTTGTTCCTAATAAAAAAAATAATTCAATTAATTGTTTTTCCATCAATTATAATATATAAAAACTTGATATCATTGGACAGGTAAGTTGGACACCTGAAAAAACATCACAATATATTAGTCTTCATTCTGTTAAAATGTTAAAATGTTAAAAATAATATTTACAAAGTAATTTTTTAATGATCGTAGTAAGATTATCACGATCCGTTGGTCGGTGAATCTGGTCAATGGTCTTAAGTTACCATCAATAGTCATGACAAGTCACACAACAAGTCCTGACCTCGTGACTATCTAAAGGCAGAAACTACGTGACGGAAAAGCGGATACTACTCGATCTACGTGTCGGAAGTGAACTGCCATGCGCTCTCGATCTGTGTACGGGAAAGAATTTTTCTCGTTTTATTTTTTCTTTTTTCTATTTTCTTTCTCCTTTTTTCTTCTAGTTCTATCATCTCTTTGGAATATTAACT